CCTTATAAGAATATAACTTTTAAGAAACCTTATTCTTGCTTTTTTTTTCTTTTAAATTCATTTTAACTAATAAAAATGTAGGAAATAATTTTTTAATGAATATTACTTTTAATAAGAATATTACTTCTAAAAATCACTTTATCAATTTAAATAAAATAACTTGATGTACTCTTTTAACAGATCTACTATATTATAAAAGAGAGTTTAGGTCCAAGTATAATATATAATATTCAAAATTGGGACTTTTCCCAATCTTGAATATTATATATTATACTTGTGGGACTTTTAAAAGGAAGTTTATACCCAACTATAATATATAATATTCAAGATTGGGACTTTCTTGAATATTATATATTATATTTATTATATAGTACAACTTGGGCATAAACTCCTTTTTAAAATAATATATATATATATATATCTCACAAATGAAAAAGTCTCAATCAAGGAAGCAACATATATCATTTACAAATGACTTAAAAAGTTTTAAAATATTTAAAAGTTATATAATAAAACAGGTTGACTCTCAGAATTCTATCAGGCTCACATATATTGGGACAGAAAAAATAATACATATCATTTTAATATTACCAAAAAGTATTATAAATAATAATAATTAACAACTTAAAATAAATGGAAAAGTCCCAATCAAGGAAGCAACATATATCATTTACAAATGACTTAAAAAGCATTAAAAATTACAATAATTACCAATTTAAAATATTTAAAAGCTATATAATAACATAGGTTGACTCTCAGAATTCTATCAGGCTCACATATATTGGGACAGAAAAAATAACACATATCATTTTAATATTACCAAAAAAGCATTATAAATAATAATAATTAACAATTTAAAATATCTGAAAGACATTTTAAAAGGGTTAATTTTGTAATTTTATCCATATCACATAAATTAGGACAAAGTAACCAGTAATGTACATTATTTCAAAGTTACATAAAAATATTATAAATCACAATAATTAATAACTTCAAACATTTTTTTTAAAAAAATGAAAATTTGGATGACCCTCCAAATTTCATTTGTGTCACATAAATTGAGACAACAAAAATAACATATATTGGGTCCATTTAAATTTATTTGTCTTATTTTTTTATATTTTTTTATATTTAAAAATTGCGTAATAATACTATAAATCATGATAATTGACAATATAAAATATGTTTTGAAAAAAAATACAAAAAATTCCACTGATTCTTCAAGTGAATCTATTGTAAAAATACTATAAATCATGATAATTGACAACATAAAATATTTCAAAAATGTTGTATGTGGGTAGTCTTATTATTCCTTAAATAGCGTCAAAGAAAGTACAGGTTTGTGATAAAAAAAAATTATTCCTTTATCCACGCAAACAATCGCTTCAAAAACTCAGTTATTAGCCCCAACATATACCATTTATATAATCCTAAAAATATATCAATATATTAAACAACATACAACATATATAACAAAAGTTCTAATAAGATTAACAAAAAGGAAAAAAAAAACCAAAATTCTTAAAAATCATCAACAAACTACATACAAAATAAAAAGAAAGCTATTCCAACAAAAGAATAGGGAAAATGCATAAGTACCCCCCTAGCCTATACCCAAAATCCCAGAGACACACCTAACCTTTACTAAGGTCCTATTACCCCCCGAACTTAATTTATCTATAATATTCTACCCCTTTTCGGCCTACGTGGCACTATCCTTGAAAAATTTGTCAACATGTGCTGGGCCCACAAGATAGTGCCACGTAGACCAAAAAGGGGTAGAATATTACATATAAAATAAGTTCGGGGGGTAATAGGACCTTAGTAAAGGTTAGGTGTGTCTCTGGGATTTCGGGCATAGGCTTGGGGGGTACTTATGCATTTTCCCCCTTTACATAAAGTTAAAATGAACTTTAAGAATTCTAGCATCTTAAGCATATTGAGGCAAACATTTTAATTTAATGTCATTTCTCTCCAAAGAAAGAAAGGCATTGAATATTTTAATTTAATATAAAATTGAATTTTTTGGGGTTATGGATATAAAAGGTTTGAAAGTTATGAATATTATTAATACTAATTAAAAGTATAATTTATGAAGATGAAGAAGTGTGAATTATGAAAATAACTTTTAGAAATAATATAATTGAGAAAATTCAAAAAAGGAGAAAAAAGAAAAATGACAATGAAGGTCATAGAGAGCACCACATCACCGTTTAAGGTAGTTCTATTGATAATTGTGAAGAAAGCATATTAATGGATTAAAAATAAAAAAGAGGTAATTAAACCCTAAAATATTATAAAGACATTTATAAAATTTGGTTGAAGCTCAAAATCTATTAGTGCCATATAAATTAGGATAGAGGAAATAGCACATATTATTTGAAATAACATGAAACGTACTACAAATCACACAATAATTAGCAACTTCAAAATTTAAAGGACATACAAAAAATTTGATCAAACTCTCAAAATTCTACTAATGTCACATAGTTTGGGATAGAAAAAATAACATATACGTAAAATGTATTATAACTCATAATAATTAAACAACTTCAAAATCTAAAAGACATATACAAAATTTGCTTGACTTTCGAAATTCTATCAATGACACATAAATTGGGACAAAGAGAATATTGAAAATTACATATAAAGTATTATTAACCACAATAATCAACAACTTAAAATTTAAAGAACATACAAAAAAATTATTTGACCGTTAAAATTTTATTAATGTCACATAAATTAAAATAAAAAATAAAAATATATGTTGAATAATTAACAACTTAAAATATTTGAAAGACATTTTAAAAGGGTTAATTTTGTAATTTTATCCATATCACATAAATTAGGACAAAGTAACCAGTAATGTACATTATTTCAAAGTTACATAAAAATATTATAAATCACAATAATTAATAACTTCAAACATTTTTAAAAAAATATGAAAATTTGGATGACTCTCCAAATTTCATTTGTGTCACATAAATTGAGACAACAAAAATAACATATATTGGGTCCATTTTAATTTATTTGTCTTATTTTTTTATATTTTTTTATATTTAAAAATTGCGTAAAAATACTATAAATCATGATAATTGACAACATAAAATATGTTTTGCAAAAAAAATACAAAAAATTCCACTGATTCTTCAAGTGAATCTATCGTAAAAATACTATAAATCATGATAATTGACAACATAAAATATTTCAAAAATGTTGCATGTGGGTAGTCTTATTATGCCTTAAATAGCGTCAAAGAAAGAACAGGTTTGTGATAAAAAAAAAAACTTATTCATTTATCCACGCAAACAATCGCTTCAAAAACTCGGTTATAAGCCCCAAAACATACCATTTATATTATTGGGCCCGTGCATAGCACGATATGTATATATATATATCTCACAAATGGAAAAGTCTAAATCAAGAAAGCAACATATATCATTTACAAATGACTTAAAAAGCATTAAAAATTACAATAATTACCACTTTAAAATATTTAAAAGTTATATAATAACATAGGTTGACTCTCAGAATTCTATCAGGCTCACATATATTGGGACAGAAAAAATAACACATATCATTTTAATATTACCAAAAAAGTATTATAAATAATAATAATTAACAACTTAAAATATCTGAAAGACATTTTAAAAGGGTTAATTTTGTAATTTTATCCATATCACATAAATTAGGACAAAGTGACCTGTAATGTACATTATTTCAAAGTTACATAAAAATATTATAAATCACAATAATTAATAACTTCAAACATTTTTTAAAAAAATATGAAAATTTGGATGACCCTCCAAATTTCATTTGTGTCACATAAATTGAGACAACAAAAATAACATATATTGGGTCCATTTTAATTTATTTGTCTTATTTTTTTATATTTTAAAATTGCGTAAAAATACTATAAATCATAATAATTGACAACATAAAATATGTTTTGAAAAAAAATACAAAAAATTCCACTGATTCTTCAAGTGAATCTATCGTAAAAATACTATAAATCATGATAATTGACAACATAAAATATTTCAAAAATGTTGTATGTGGGTAGTCTTATTATGCCTTAAATAGCGTCAAAGAAAGTACAGGTTTGTGATAAAAAAATTTATTCTTTTATCCACGCAAACAATCGCTTCAAAAACTCGGTTATTAGCCCCAGAATATAACATTTATATTATTGGGCCCGTGCATAGCACGGGCAACATTATCTAGTCATATATATAAGGTCATAGTCATCATTAATTTTCATCTAGATAACAATAAAAATAATTATAATAAAACAAGATTTTTATACTTTCATTTTTCTCCAAATTAAAATAGGATAAATATTTGGTAATAAAAAAATAATATTAGGAAAAGAAAGTGTTTAAAAAAAGAAAATAAATAATATATTTAATTGGAAAAAAGACATTTTTGATTCATTAAGTAACAATTTTTTGAATCAAAGTATTGAAGGCAGGGGTATTTTTAGACCAAAATATAAATAAAGGATATTTCTATCCGTTTCACATAGCTTAAAGACATTTTTTACCCTTTTTCTAAGAAACTAATACTATTTCACTTCTAATTTTGAGAAGATAAACCATATCTATTCATTCACTTTTATGGTTTGACAAAAAAAGAATTTACAGAAAATGTTATTCAATGTAAATGGACCTGATAGCAATTGTATAATCACATAACTATATTCGTTTGTGATATGTATATATATATTGATAATGAGTTCTTCAAAACAATTAGATGACCAAGAAACCACTATTTGTTTTTAAAATATATATCTCTTATATACTATTAGATAGTGAAAAAGAATATTTATATTATCATTAATACACTATTCTCACAAAATTTTGTTTTTTTAAAAAAAGGAGTATTGTTTAATTAATAGGGTTGGTTAAAGTGTACTGCATAGAATAGAGTGTGTACTACAAACTTGTAGTACCACAATGAAATAGCATAAAAGGCAATCAACTAGTCTAGAGAAGTCCATTGTTTTGGTTATTTCTCATACTTTGAGTAAATTAAACACAAGTTAGAAGTGATAATGGAGGCTGCAGGATTTCATGCTAAGATTGAACTCCAACCTCCTCCTTATCCCATGGTATGTTTTTCAAAATAATCCTCCTTTTTGTTTCCAACGGTTTATACAGAGCTACGATTTTGAGTTTATGTGTTTAGAATTCTAAAAATATAGTAGCTTTTGTACATATTAAGTGGACTAATATATGTACATGTGCGTTGCGCAGATATATTTATTTATGATATATCTAACCATCTAAGTTTTTTTAGGAATTAGAAGTATATCTGTGATGTAAAATGTTTGACTCTATCCATTTAAGATCATTTTTTGGGATTTAAGGTCCTAGAAAGGAAGATGATTTTGGTTGTGGCCTAAATGATGCTAGTTTATTACCTGGCCTATCCAGCATGGAACTTCCCTATCATATGGTTTCACTATTAGTATTGCAAGTTTGAACAAGTTCCATAATTTGCTTGTTTGCTTCATTTGTCATGAATCGATGAATCTTCTATTTGAAGTAATATCTTTATTCTTTGAAGAATTATCTCCTCAATTGATTGCACAAAATATTTGCTCCAAGGATTTTGCTAGCATTCCTTTCTTGACTCAATTATAATGTATACCATATTTGAATGGTGTAAGATTTATAATGATTGAATCAAATTTACTTGTCATAAAAAATTCTTCTTGATTCTATTTCTATTGTTATTTCCTCAGTCTCATTTTATACGTGACATCAATAAAATTTCAAAAAGTCAATCAAATTTTTAGTATGTCTTCTAAATATTTTTAATTATTAATTATTACTCTTTCCGCCCCAATTTATGTGGCATTTTTTGATTTCGAGATTCAAACATGTCTATCTTAGCTTTAACCGTAAAATTCTCATATATATTTTAAATATTTTGAATTGTTAATTATTGTGACTTATAATATTATTATTTTTTATGTAGTTTACAAATATATAAATTTCATTTCAAAATATTTGAAAATTTCATGCGTATATTCCCAGTCAAACTTAAATTATTTGACTCTCGAATAATTTATAATACTAAAAAAAATTAAAACAAAAAAGTATAAAACTTGTAGCCGCTTGAAAAATATCCAGGATAATTAGACGCCTAGAGAAAGCAATAGGGTTGCCATGACAAAGCAAGAGAGAATCATTGATTTCTACTCCATCAGTCCATAAGAATCTTTGGCAAGTTGATTCAATAAGTTTGATCACCTATGCTGGCAGTACGAAAATTTGTGACCAAAAATAATAGTATAATTTATCTCTATTATTTTAAAAGAAGATTTTTAGAAATGTTGATTGGATTTTATATTAACTATTAATATATGTGAGAAGAACCGTAAAAAATAACATTAGGAATTGTAAAGCAGGTAGAGCATAAAGAGTTTTGGACGAGAGAATAATTTAGAAGGGAAAAATAGGTATCTTTTTATTTTTTACAATTTTGGTTTTAAATAAAAATTTCATTTCAACAAATTTTATTTAAAAAAAATTAATCAAATAGATTGAGTGTTGAGGTTATAAAGAAAGTTGAGTGACTTTCTATAAGAAGAATTGTTAGTTGAGTGACTTTGGTCTTTGAGGTTATAAGAAATAGTTGAGTGACTTTGGTCTTTGAGGTTATAAGAAATAGTTGAGTGACTTTCTGTTAAAAAAAATCATTAGTTGAGTGACCATTTGAAATATTATATCTTATATTTCACTCTTTTCAAACAAGGTAAGAAGCCTATTTTCCTTGTTCAACAAATTCTTTGGCTTGAAACAAGGTTTTAGCGACAATAAATATGCACATTAATAAAAAATGTTAAAGCCTTTATTGACATTAATTAATTGCTATTAAATTCAATATTGCTATAGGTTTTAGCGACATTTACAAAGAGTGATAGAATGTAATTGTCACTAGTAATTGCCTCTAAAGATCATTTTTGGTGCAGTGCTTATAGCTGACTAATTTGTAAAAAAGACGGCAAATTTTGCAATTTATTCATAATGTGAACTTCCCCTTCCTCCCTGTTATGCCAGTTTCTGTGTTAATTTCAGTGTTTCTTTCTCATGGACCTTTGAAATGACATAGGATGCTTTGGAGCCTCATATGAGTAGTAGAACATTGGAAATCCACTGGGGGAAGCATCACAGGGCATATGTTGACAACCTAAACAAGCAAATAGATGGAACAGAACTACATGGAAAGACACTAAAAGACATATTACTCACTACCTATAACAATGGTTCTCCCCTTCCAGCATTCAACAATGCTGCTCAGGTAAACTAACACTTTTAGCTATTTTGTTCTGTGTAATGCAGAGTCCTTTTATTATAACTTCTTTTGCATTACAGGCCTGGAATCATCAGTTCTTCTGGGAATCTATGAAGCCCAACGGAGGAGGAGAGCCATCTGGTGAATTATTAGAACTAATCAACAGAGACTTTGGTTCTTATGATACGTTTGTTAAAGAATTTAAGGCAGCTGCAGCAACACAATTTGGCTCTGGTTGGGCATGGCTTGCATGTGAGAAATTCTTTGCCTTTTTATCTGTATATATCCATGTTCCGTTCAACTATTTTGTTATAATTGAGCCAAATGACTGAAAAGTGATTCATTTGTTACTTCATAGACAAACCTGAAGACAAAAAGCTTGCTCTGGTGAAAACTCCTAATGCTGAAAATCCTCTTGTTTTGGGTTACACAGTGAGTAAAACACATGCTGCTCTATTTCTTTTGTTCATGGGATTTCATCTTACATAACATAGCAGTTTATACCGTAATAGAAATCTCACAACTGTGGTTTTCATTGCAGCCGCTGCTCACCATAGATGTTTGGGAGGTAAGCAAGCAGAACACACTCACTTGTCATAAATCTGTCTGAATTTGTTTGTTTTTTTTCCCTCTTCCTTCGGGAGGGGGGATGGTTGAAATGATTTAGGAAGCCAAAGTCTTATTCTTTTACTTTTGTGTTTGATACTGCAGCATGCCTACTATCTGGACTTTCAGGTAAACCTAGCCTGATGAAACTACTTAAATACTTTCTTTGATGTATAGTCTTTCCCCGAGACATATTTGAACTCTCTTAATGGTAGCACCACATCTTTTGCTTGTAGAATCGCCGACCTGACTACATATCTGTCTTTATGGAGAAGCTCATATCATGGGAAGCAGTCAGTTCTAGGCTCAAAGCAGCAACAGCTTGCGCTGCTTAGCAGGAAAACAGAAAGGACGAAGAGGCAAATCTAGGAGGCACTGAAGATGTATGCTGGGAGTTACATATTTGAGGCAGAATGATTTTTGTCAACACTATGATCAATCCTGTTATATTTCCTTTTCAGTGAGAGTTCTAGATGTCTTAGCTGAGAATTTGAGATGTTTTATTTTATGCACTTTACAAGAGTGACAGGTGATTTTCTGAATTCAGATGACAATATTGTTTATGTTCTTAAGTAGTTGATGGCTGGGAAAATAATACAGAAAATCAAGTTTGAGTTGTGGAACAACAATGTACAAGGAATTGAATAAAGATATTTATTGCACTTTGATGCTCTAATATCAGATTGATTCAATGACTGGTAAAGTAAAATAGGGCCCTTACTTACTTCAGAATCTGCTATATGGAACAAAGGGCATCCTACCAATTGAAGACTTGATCCAATATTCCCCCTTTTTCCAAGTTAGAAATTGTTTCACATCACATTTAGAGGTCGCAAAAGTAGTCCATGAAAACATGATCTACTCAACTCGTTCAAGTTTGGGTGGTTAGTGACTAGCTAAAGGCTTCTAAAATGAGACGACAAGAAGGTTAGCTTAAAGCAGCTATTTTTGAAGAGTTAGTACTTGAATAAATAGTTCACTGATTGAGTGATTTGGGTTGAATATGAACAGAACTATCAATCCAAGTTATCTATCAAAGCTGTAGAGAGTTAAATTACATTTGCATGAATATCTGAATTCTTTATCCATTCTTTCTAGTAAGATTTTTCCAAATATAATAATTAGGAATAGAAAATATATATCAAAAAAGGTGTAGAACTGTTCGAATCCTTCTCCTAATTGCTATTTGATACATATCACTCGTTAACATTAGTGAACCATGTGAAAATGCCAATACGTGATTCATGTTTAGTCATAGATGAAATAAAGGAAACCCATACTTATGTCTTCACCTTTAAACGTTTATTTTAGCCCATATATATCGGATGGTTTATAGGTCAGTGTAGGAATACTAGATGCCTAAAATTCATTTATGAGAGAAATTGCTGCCCCAAGGATATGTGAGTCGATGAACATCTTTATCTAATTCAAGCCCTCATGAATCAGTTAGATTGGAGTTGAGTAGTAAAAAATATAATGTTTCAGAAACATCTTTCAAGATATTAAGGTCTTCAATCTGTGAGGAAGTAGCCCATTTTTTCGTCTAAGCAAAGATGAATTAACACAAGTATGATGTCAAGAGAACTGGGAACCAAATCAAAAAAGATATCTCAAGCTGAAACGTGCAATGAACAATTTCTTTTTGAATAAATCTATTTCTCAAAAATGCAGTTTAGAAGTACAGGCAACACGGCAATTAACCAACCATGTATATGGAAGGAAATCTTATCTAAGGAATGTTTATTCAAGTGATGCAGGGGTTAAAACAGGTAGCGACATACCTCTTCTAGGTAAAATTGTTGAAAGCAGCTTTATATAAAAGGGTGGCGACTACAATCAAGCAGGCACAAAGAAGGAGAAGTATGCTGAACAAGGACAAATATAAAGCTCCACCTGTTTAACCAGTAAGTGCAGCATTAAGCGCACTATGTACATCAACGCCAATCTGGGCTTCAGCTTTCTCTACATCAGTTGATGCAGTGCTCAATTTCTGTGTAAAGTCGGTCAGGCCCTTTTGAACCAAATTGGGATCGATGCGGTCAAGTGGTACAGCTTCAACAGTAATTATATCTGCAAAAGAATTTGCATGAACATATGCAAACCCACCACTCACAAAATACTTTGAGACGTCGTTGCCTTCATGAACTGATAAGATACCGGGCTTTAGCTCAGCAATTGTTGCCACATGCCCAGGCAAGACACCCATCTGTCCCGTAGTTGCAGGGATTATAACCATGTCAACCTGGAATATAATGCAAAAAAGATGAATTGCCAAGCTCGAACTCATAAGTTTGCAAATAATGTGTATATAGGCACATAAGCACACATTAAATCTGACACAAGGCTTCTCACATCACTTGACAAACGTTGAAACGTTGAACCACAAATATTACTCTGATTAAGGTTGGTTCCAGTAAGCAACCTAAAACTTAATGGGTTCTACAGTCAAATCCTCCAATATGTTAACTAATAATCTGTGACAATGATCACCCTAGAAAAAGCTGCCTAATTAAAAACACAGGAAGTAAATCATGGCACCAAATTTCTGAGCTAACGGACTATTCTGGAGTTCAATACAAGAGCTACGAAAGAGATGCTGTTGAGAAGCTCCTCTTAAGTCACGAATGAAATTAACAATTAGAGGTTGATTTGGTGATTCTTTATTGCATAACAATAAGTAGAATAAGTCACCAAATTTGTAGAATGCTAAATACTCCAAGGAATCAAAAAGACAAAAAGGCAAATCCAAGTTATACGAATGAAAATGTAGATGCTCAGTTTGTTTACCCAGAAACAAATAATTGCCAACAACCTTTACCCTTCTTGCTTTAGTTGCTTTTCTTTCTTCTTTTTTTGGGATGATGTATACTAAGATGATTTTAACAAAAATAATGATTGCAAGCTTGTATTGCTATGCACCCTAGGAATTTAACCTCAACTTTTTTTTTGATGACCTAGGTGTCTGGGCACGCACCTCGACTAATTCCACAGGATATCTACCTTCTCCCACCAACAACAAGTACCAGATAACTTTGTCCACCAAGCTCTAACCTCAACTAATACAACATGGAATTTCCTATTTACACAAAAAGTAAATGGAAAGAAAGAGAAATTTACGCATGACCAACCTTAGCATGCACTTTCAGACAAGTATTAATATACCATGACCTTGCACTTTAAAGGCATTAAATATTCATGATCGAGGAAAAGTGTAATTAGATGTGAGATGTGTTTAATAGAGACCAAAGAAGCAGTTAACTAGATTATGGAACAGAACGCATACTCCAAGCTTCTCTAAATTTTGTCAGCGAGTGCAAGCTATTGTTGGTGAAAGAATGGACAGAGTGAAAGGGGGGAGAATTATTGCTAAAATCAATTCAATGAACAACTGCACAGCTGGAAAAAAAAAAGAGGAGTATGCTCAGTGTATTAAACATCCGACTCCATGATCCTTAGTTGTTTGCCTCAATTGATAAGATTCCGATCTCACCCATATGTGATAGTGATTTATCTTAGCTGATAGATTTCAATAAGTCAGCAAATTTCCCAGTAAGTCAGCAGATTTCCTGGCCTGTATTTCCGGCACAGCCAATTCACCAAATGTGATGTTTGAATCAATTCAAAGTTGTGTAACGAAACCAAAACTTATCTATTCCAACTGTCCTCAGATGAATTTTAGGATCTTCATATTCCAACCATTATAAGCTTTTCTAAGGAAAATTGAATTTAGTGCGACACCTTTAAACCATTAGCTACTTGATCTTCTAAGTGGGTGCTTATTTCTTATTTCCGTTTCAAGTGCAGAAGAATGAATAAGCATGTATGTAAATTAAGATATTAATTTGACCTACATACTATACAACTGATAGTAGGAAAAATATTGAAACATCAGTTTAAGAGGTACAAGTTCTATGACATACAAACTATAAACTAAATGAAAAAAATATATATTTGGTGCTGGGCATTGAAATTACGACATGAATGTCAATGAAATTCAGTCATCAGCCTATAAAACAATAACTCAAATGTATATAAAATTACAGATAAAACATATCATCAATATCGATCACACTAAATGTCATACGTATCTGCAATCTAACTTGATTAAAAATCATATATCTTAAAATTTTGCATGCAAATAGACCTAATATATATGTAGAAACCATGGAGCGTGAAATTTATACTAAAAAATGTTACACTTGTTGTTTATGTAATTGCTGTATCTGCAATTACATAAAGGCAAAGGCAAATCAAAAACCAAAATCATGTGTATTCATTCCTCTCTCTTCCTCCAATTTCAATGTTATTCGAATACTAACTAATCTGTCTTTCAATGTAAAAGAGGAACGGGAACTAACAATTTGAAAATTTAAAAGGAAATGAGTTTTTATCCATATATATACCTCTTTGCCGGAGAGTTCAGAAGAGTAAGGCAGGACAAAATTGACAGTGAGCTTGGAGGGAATGGATGATGGAGTTGCAGGCCTTGTAGCCATGAACGCCGAGGGAGTGCTTGGTGGTTCAACGGTGGGAATTGCTTTCCTCCATGCCTCCACAAAGTTGGAATCTTTATAGGCTTCCGCGGGAAGGTCGGTCGAAAATGGGCGGCGCCACCTCATCGTGGAGGCGCGGGAGAGGAATCGAGAACCGTGTCGGAACATTGTCGTCGGATTGGGAAACGGAGATCAGAGTCGATTGCAGAATCCGATCAGAGAATGGGGAAACTGGTAGTGGAGTTAACCGGTTTTAGCTGCTACTTTGAAATGGGGCAGTGTAATGGGCTTTGGTAATTCTGAAATGAGGAACTTTAACATATAGTCACTCAAAAATAGTCTAATTACTCTCTATAGTTATAATTTGATAATTACAATTCATAGTTATATGTTATAGGGAGGATAGAGGCGAGCGAGATTGGGAGAGAGGAGAGAGACAAGCGAGAGAGGGCAGAGAGTGGGAGAGAGGTGAATTGTATATGTATATCGGTTAGATAATTGTATATTATACATATGTATTTGTATTTGTATATAAGGCAAGTGAGATTGGGAGAGGGAGGAGAGAGGCGAGCAAGATTGGAAGAGGGAGGAGAGAGGTGAGCGAGAATGGGAGAGGGAGGAGAGAGGCGAGCGAAAGAGGGCAGAGAGTGGGAGAGAGGTGAATTGTATATGTTTATCGGTTAGATAATTGTATATTATACATATGCATTTGTATATATGGCAAGCGAGATTGGGAGAGGCGAGGGAGATTGGGAGAGGGAGGAGAGAGGTGAGCGAGAGAGGGCAATAATTTGTATAATTCACATCTCATTTGTATAATTCGCGGCTACATTTGTATAATTTGTGTGTTTTTGTATAATTGAGTAATATAAAGTCTGGAATTAGATAAATATGATAAAACTTGAAATAACAAATTGATACAAACATAAACATATGAACTTTACAGTTATACAAAATATATTATACAAATTACATTATAAAAATTAATTATACAAAATTCGAAAACTACACGTTTATACAAACTTTAAAAGGTTATACACAAAAAGATTGAATGTATATGGTGACAAAACTGAAAAACCAAAGGAAATCATCGTCATATACAAATATAAATCATTGTATACAAATATAAATCAAAAGAAGAATTGCTAGTTGTGAATTATACAAATGTGGCAAATCATACAACTCGAAGTCAGCCCACG